TAAAGAGTGTTAGCGTTAGGGTTAGTGTTACCCATTTTAATTTTTATTTTAGAGATGTAAACCACGTGCGCATGCAAATGACTCGGAGACTCTGTCGGTCGATTATTTAACAGTCTTACTTCAGTTAATTAGGCCGCGGTTTAAGAAATCTTTGGGCGTACAGATCTCTTCATAAGTGGGTTATTTTACGAAGAAAAACACTTTTCTAGTCTACGCAGATAAAAACGTTAACACACTAAAAATAGCTTGGAACGCTGTTTTGTTAAACAATGGCTAAGAGTCAGTTTAAATAACCAGCCCTCTGTGTTTTTATAAAGCAGTTTATTCACAAAGGACTGCTTGTGTCATGGCTAACAATTTGTTTCCTTCTATTCTCACTCCCCCTACCTCTCTTGTTTTTATTCCATATCATCAATTGAAAAGCATTTTAATCAACACATTTCATAAAATACCAATGTATCATTTCTCTTTAACACTACATGTATTTAGTTTGGTAGCATGATAATGCAGCTGAGATCGAACATTGTTTAATTTGACAAGAAAAACGCGCGAGTATTGAGGAAATGAAGTTTTTATCCATTTTAGTTTCGAAAATGGATTTTTTTTTTCATTTTCAGATTTGTTTTTTATCCACAAGCATTAGGTAAAATCGGTCACCGAAAACGTCTCTTTTCAAAGACTTTCTCCGGAATAGAGATTTTTGAACATGCCGTTAAATTTATTTCCACATTGTCTTGTGAAAAGAATCAAACAGCATTGACACACACCGGCGGCTAATTTTGAAAACGAACTTCTGTCATATTTAAACAATTAGGACAGTGACGAAACAAGAATTAAATTTAATTCCCTCAGTTCACTTTCTATAACTTTATGCTTAGGATTGGAGCACTGAAATCCGCTGAGCTGCCCATGCGAAGGAACATTTAATACTGAATGATGGATCAGTTTTTTTTCTGAAAAAGTTGAATATGATAAAAGAAAGCACGGATGATTTTTCTAAGTGAAGTCTCTCATTTAATAGTTCTGTTTCTCAACTTCCATGAAATATTTTCTGGTATTTTCAGTAATTGCAGTGTGCTGGGTGAGACCTACACCTCTGATATATCTCGCAAAAAACCTAGGAGCTGTATATTGACAGCGATCCTCAAGCATTATTCCACCTTCTTTAGCATCAGTGAAACGAAAGCCTTGATTAAATTGAAACCAGCCTTTAAAAAGGCTCCCTGACATGTGAGTAGCTACATTTTCTTGGAGTTCCTTCACAGTCAGTTGAATTTCAAACTTGCTGGAGATTCCTAACACTCGCATCTCTTCGTGCATGTCAAACTGAACTGTTTTACGTCCATCTTTGTCTTCCGATCTGATAATGTTAGTCACGCCAACGCTAAAATTAAGAGGTAAACAAACAAAACATAACTTGTGAATGACTGATACTGCATGGAGTTATATTGTCCCTTAGAAGGCAGTATGTATAGCTCTCCCCTAATCTGCAGAATATCACCAAAAGACATCCTAGCCTGATATCAATTAAAGGAGTGAAACGGTCTCAATAAGAAATGTTTCTTTTACGATAAATTGTATTTTTTTTTTAATTATTAGCTTTCCACTCGTGTAATATATAGCACTTGTCACTTGTAATATCAATTGTCGTTATGTCGTAATCACTGTTTTCTGAAAGCGCATCTTAATTGTTTGATTGTATTGTTTATCATTGAAAACATCGCGTGACCTAATGTTATGAGAAGTCACGCTATGGGCAAGTTTGCTGTTTAAAAAGCTTAGAGAAATCCTTTCGTTTTGTTGTGAAGAGATTTAAGCTGCTTCTATATTTCGATCTAAGATCTGTTATATGGGAAAATCATGTTTATAAATATACTCCCCGAAACAACATCACCTACATCGAATAAAAACCCCGGTTCGCTTACCAATTCGGGTGGACTTTCAACCAAAATTCTGGTTCATAACAAAACTTCCGATAAACATCAGATCGTTTTGCTGAGATGTGCTTGGTTAGTGTAAAGTCGAGAGTGTCAACTTGCAGTTCCCTGTAAGTAAAATAACCCAGAACAACCGCAGAACACGACCCCACAATGAACTTTACCGACGCCATGACGAATCTATGAGGCAATATATAGACCACGTGACAACTGGCAAAATGAACAAGCCAAGGGGTTTGGGAAGAGCGGATCGTTTCGCTTTTCCAGCCAGACTTTTATTTATGATCTCAGGTTAGGCTGGAGATCAAGGCATTCACATTGTCTCATTTTCCAGCAAAATACTCCTTTCTTTTACTGTTACAACATTCGGCTTTCTACAGCGACACTTGTTATAAGATGGGGGAATAAAAACCAAACACGGACGAGAACAAAGATGGCAAGCTCAAAATGCGGGTAACGGGACATTTATTGTCGCAGTGTACTTTTACTGCCAGTAGCGGATCTAGACCTTCAGATAAGGAGGGGGAGGGGGGTGGTGGGGGCGGTCATCCAGACCCTGAGATAAGGGGGGCTTGGTCTTAAATTTTTTTTTCGGCCCTTCGGGCGATCGAGGTTTGTAAGGGCCCTTACGTTGCCTTAAGTGACAACCAAATCGACCTCACGAGTTAAAGTGAGCCTGAGCGAGCTTTTTAGGTTTTTGTAAGCGAGAGGAGTACGCTTATCTGACGAAGGGTCTTAAAGTCTACAAAAGCAACATTTGCCCGGACTAAATTGTGCAAACACATTTTTTATGCACCTGTTGGATAAATGGGCAAATAGCTACAGTACCTGACAAATAAATTTGCTGCGAAAAAAGTTCTAACAAAATGATCGCATCGAGGACTCAGTTTGAATTTGACGGTTCAATATACTCGGCACACCACCGCGGTGAAAGTTTTCCGACGGATTTACTTAAATCGCGAAAAGTTCTGTAAAGCTCTTCCTCAGCCGCTGTCGTTTCAAGTCTTAAACAAAATGCTTATTTTAACTAAATTTTGCGCCCTACGAGATTTACACTGATACCGAGTAGCTAGCGAACCGATTGTGTTTCTGCAAGTTTTCTTTGACAAGAAAAACGTGCTCGTAGGGTGTGGCGCTGAGGCTTGAGGCGCTTGACACGGAAAATAGCCGACATTTCGCGACCCCATCACAGGCTTTATTTCGCGGGAAACCCAACCTCGTCCCCAGGGCGCTTTTCCCTGGCTCTGGAGGAAAGCACCCTGGGGACGAGGTTGCGGGAAACCCGGTGATGCTGTTGCGAAATGTCGGTTGTTTTCTGAGGGTACCGAAGAAGCTGAAAACATCTATAGCTAAAAATTCAACAAGATAACACTTTACTCACCCATTTTTGAAAAATCTTTACAAACATGATGACTCAATGCTTGTTCTTTTATAACAACTGCTATTTTTAGTGAGAGAATGCGTACTTTGATATTATCTTGTACAACACTAGACTTGCCTACAAGTCGAGCTAAAAGAAACTGTCAGAGAAAAGTGAATCACGATACAAAATTTCTTAGGAGTTCTTTGTTTCAACTTCCATGAAATATTTTCTGGTGTTTTCCATAATGTCTTTGTGCTGGGCGAGTGCTATAGGTGCGATATATCTTATAGCAATCTTGGCTGATGTATACTGACAGCGCTCTTCCAGCATCATTCCACCTTCTTTTGCATCGGAGAAACGAAACTCTTGATCGAATTGAAGCCAACCGTGAAACTGGGTGGTTGACATGTGGGTAGCTTCATTTTCTTGTACTTCTTTCACAGTCATGGGTACTTCAGCATGGACCTTGCTGGGGTATCCAAAAAAGGGGCCTGGCACCTCCTCATGCAAGTGAAACTGAACTGTTCTTGGTCCATCCTTGTCTTGCGATCTAATGATGTTGGTTATACCCACACTAAAATAGAAGAAGGAGCTTAAACAACGCCTTTTTTGAGCGACGCAAAGTAGAAGTGGCAATTTTGCAATCTTGGGGCGTGATTTTGACCAAATTTTCAGGCAAATCGTCTCAGATAAAAAAAGGCCTTCCAAAATCTCCGACAGAACTTGAAAAAGTCGGGTTGACTTTTTCAAGTTTGTTTTCATTAGCTCGCGCATGCGCCAGGGGTGACATAGCCCCTTTAAGAACATACGTCGCTGAAAAACATCTTTTCTTAGCACCCAAAAGACACGGTCAAAACGAAACCTGTAGCTGACAGTGAGCATAAAGTTGTATTTCCCTTGGAAATAAAACAGCATGTAATGCATCAATCATTTGATTACTCCCCCACCCCCAACTGGGGATCCCCGGGGCATTCATTTTTGCTGTCAGTGAAATGCAGTGAAAGCCCCGCCTTGCGGGGAAAAAATTTAGAGTGAACTCCCCCTCCTTAATAATGTATGATAAACAATTTTCTGCAAGTGAATAACCATTTTCTTGGCGGAGCTGTGTCCTCTGTCATCCCCACGCACTTGAACGAGCATCCTTCGTTACCGTCGCACCCACACCGGACTTATCATGCATTCGGTTTGCTACATGGGCAGTATGGTGAACATGCAACTTGAACCCATTCTTCTAAAAGAGGTCGCAAACCACGAGTGAAATCCCCGCCAAACCCCCGCTCAGCCCCCGCATTGTTTAGCAAAGCCGTGAAAAAAGGTGTATTCCTCGACTAACGGGGAACCTAAATTGAGTGAAAATGAGAGGAAAACTTCCGGTTTGTCCGTAGTATCCCCCAATGGAGTGGGGTGGGGTGGTGAGGGGGGGGGGAACTAATCAAATGATTGGTGCATAATTAGCTCAAATCACATAAGGACATGTAAGAGCTCGACATTATTTTAAACTGAAATGCCTTAAAAGTAACGTTTAGTAATTTTGCTCAAAACTTTGTTACTTTAAATTTATTGTGAAAACATCGCGTGACCTATTAAATGATGAGATTAGTCACGCAAAAGACAACTTCGTTGTAGATGCGCAATAACTTGTAATGAAAAGTCTTAGAATTAAGTGCAGTGGAGATTACAGTTGATACCCTTATATTTCGATTTAAGATCTGTTCACAAAACTAAAAACATCGAAACCATCGTGTGAGCGGCTGATGGCTATCGGCTATTGGTAACGTTTTTCCTCCAGGCCAAATGGCACGCACAATTCGCTTAGTTTAAAGTTAGCAGAAGTTTTTACGCATATTATGCTTAATACTGCTTTCCCGTTGTAAGCGAGAAATGAAACGCTTAATGCCCAGAATAAAAACCCTCACAAAAGCTCTTTAAACTTAAACTACCGTTGACATTTCGTTTCAAAGACTTGTTTACATTTTTATGTAGGCGTAAATTATGCACATCACGGTACATTAGAAAAATTAACAGAAAATGACTACGTATAATTGCAGGTGCCTTTGAGGCTGCCACCAGACTGGAGGTTTTAGTTCAGGATTAGCAGCTGGGGTTCAAGTTCAGGAGTTACGTCACACAAACCCTGTCCCTGAGGTTTCATTTTGCTTACCAGTTGGGGTGCACTTTCGACCAAAATTCTGGTTCATCAAAAAACTTTCGGTAAACGTCAGAGCGCTTTGCCAGTATGTGCTTGGTTAGTGTAAAAGCGAAAGTTTCCATTTGCAGTTCCCTGTGAATAAAATAGCCGAGAATAGCTACCAAACACGCAACCACGATGAACTTTACCGACGCCATCACGAATCATAACCACCTTTTGTCAACAAACCACTTTATCGATGACGTCATTCAAAGCCAACTACAATGGAATTGACAATTCATTTTGTTTCTGCGGTTTTATTCAAATTTTTTTATTGAGTGTACTTTAGTATGCGTTATGGGAATTTTATCCTGGATAACTTAAAAATTATAATGCCCTTTGTTCTTAATCTATTTACTGCTAGGCTGGAGTGAAAGCTCCATGAATTGTTGTCTAGTATTTTCAAGTATAGCAGAGTGTGCAGAATGTGCTTCGCTTAAAGCAATTCTTGCAAGAATACGAGGTGCTGTATATGATGCATGGTCTTCCAGCAGAGTTCCACCCTCAGAATCCGACATGTGGAATTCTTGATTGATTTGAAACATTCCATTAATCAAAGAGGCTGTAGTTTGGGTAGCAGTGTTCTTCTCTTTCTCCTTAGTCGTAATTTGAAATGTAATGTTGCCAGTGTCATAGAATCCAAATAGTACTGCCTTCTCGTGGATATCAAACTGAACAACTCTTCGTCCTTCATTGTCTTTGAATCTGACAATGTTGCTAACACCAGTGCTGCAATACAAGGTAAAGTATAGAAGTTTAGGGAATCAATTAAGCTATAATTAAAGCCCACAGTTTACACATTAAAAAAACCATAACACTTAACAGGTTGCCACGCATTTCAAATTCGGGTCACTGAAATTTTGTTCTTCTATCAAACTCGCACCTGCACCGTGGCTTTTGAAAGCCACTGGGCACAAGTACTCGAAAGATATCGAAAGATACCTCGCGATTGTGAAAAAGAGTCCTCAAAAATACGTACCATAATGGATGGATTTTAAGGTAAAATTCAGGATTGTCGAACAATTTCTGGAACACATCAGACTGCTTGGCTGGTATATGAATTTCCTTAACCAAACCGAGCGTGCTAACTTGCAGCTCCTTGTAGGTAAAGTATCCAACAACCGCCACTAAACATGACAACAAAAATAACTTTGCAGCCGCCATAATCAATAAAGGTCTCCAGGCGGCCGTGGGAGACGGCGTCCAGTCTCCACGCAGATTCTTTACCTCGCCCACAGGTAGCCTCCCCGCAGACGTCCTTTGGGGATCGTTCGTTATGCATTCATCTTCCCTCTTCGTGGGGGAGAAATGTATTCGTGACGAAAGAACCCCAAAGGACGTCTGCGGAGAGGCTAGCCTACAAATCGAGCGGCAAAAGCGAGCGAGAGAACTACGGAAACGGAAATGAGAAGCGTAGCACTCCGAGAATGTCTATCTCGCCACGTGATAATAAACACGGAGCCTACTGAGGGCCATGCAAGGTGTCGACTTGTCTAGTTGTCCACTTTTTGCAAGTCAAGATTTCAAGTTGTCGAGATTTCAAGATGTCGAGATGTGTAGTACAGGACGTCGAGATGTTGAATAGAGGAGTTCACGCTCATAGTTGCATCATGGGTAATCAGGGCAAGATGGCGGGACTATTCGAAGATTTGTATTGGAATTCAAAGCTAGCTAATTCTTCCTGAATTCAAATATTTGATTTGGAGTGCAAAGACATCCGTGATCAGTTTTTAGAAAACCTCAATTTTTCCATACATTTTCTGCAATTTTGATACTGTAGAATTATTACAGAAAATGTATGGGAAAATCAAGGTTCAATTTCTCTTGGGATTACATGTCTGCAATTTGATTGGCTTAGAGCAGTGGTATTTCAGCTTAATTTGAAATACCTGCATGTGAAAATTACAAACTTTTTGCGGGTAGTAGTATAAACAAATAATAGCATGATTTGTATGTGAAATTTGGCATAAATACCACTCGTGATATTTCAAAATTGTCTCAAATTTCACTCGCCTATCGTCTCGTGAAATTACGTACTGACAATTTTGAAATATCACTCGTGGTATTTATGCCAAATGTCACTACAAATCATGCTATTACCTATAAAAACAAAGGTTATGCAAAATTTTGGGGGGCAAATAAGGTGCATTATGGGAAATGCGT